TTCCTCCCTCCCTCCCTCCCCCTCCCCCCCCCCTCACCTCTCCTTCCCTTCCCTCCTTTTTACTCTCTCTCTCCCTCCTTCTCTCTGTCCTCCCACCCCCTCATCTCTCCTCCCTCCCCTCCTCTCTCTCCCGTCTCTCTCTCCCTCTCTCTATCCTCCCACCCCCCTCATCTCTCCTTTTCCTCCCCTTCCTCTCCTCTCTCTCTCTCTCTCTCTCTCTCCGCATCTTCCTCTCTTCCACTTCTTATAAAGGCATTTGATCCTTTTACTCAGAATCCTGCGTGGTCTAAGCAACCAAAATAGCAGACGCACACGGGAGGGCGATGAGTCTTCTGTTACTAGAAAGCGGAGTGAATCAGGATATATTTGGTGTGAATCGTGATGTATTTGAAATATATGCGATATATTTGGTGTAAATCATGCTAGGTTTGTGATATATGCGATATATTTGCTGTGAATCGTGATATATTTGAAATATATGCGATATATTTCGGGTGAATAATGGTACATTTAAGATATATGCGACATATTTGGAGAAAATCATGCTTTTTGAAATATATGCGATATATTTGGTGTGAATCGTGATATTTTTGAAATATATGCAATATATTTGGTGTGAATCGTGACTTTCCGATATATTTGAAAACAGTACGAGTAAGACATTAGAAAGTTGAATAAAGAAGGTATAGAAGATTTTGATGAAGATGAGAAACGAATGATGGTGGATGAAAGATGGATAAAAGATGTGAATATGGATAATTCGATAAAACAATACGGAAATTCGCATAGGGATTATGCAATGAAAATAATCATAATGAAAAAAAATAGTACATGAAAGAATAATAAATAAATAGGCAGCATGTAAGAATAAATAAATAAATAGGGAACATTAAGAATAAATAAATAAATAGGTACGATGATAAGAATAAATAAATAAATAGGAACATGATAAGAATAAATACTATAACGGTAAAGAGAAAAACGTCGAGAACGTGTGAGAAAATATACAAAAAAGAAACAACTGTGACAAGATCCGAGGGCGGGGTGCGGAGGAGAGGGGGGGAGGAGGGGGAGGAGGAGGCAGGGGTGGGGCTCGAGAGGAGGAGGGTGAATGTAGAGGAGGTGGGGTGAAAGAGGAGGAGGGGAGAAGCGAAATGGACGGGGAGGCAGGACGAGTGGTTACGGGTTGAGACTGGAAGGAGGAGTCGTGTGTTTTTGAACAGAGGAAGCGATGTCGTGGATGTGTGTGGAGGAGGAGGGAGGTACCATGAGGTGGGTGAAGGAGGAGGAGGAGAGGAGGAAGGAGAGGTGGGCAGAGGACGGCAGGGTATGGGGCTCGAGTGAGGAGTGAAAAATTTGAGGAGGTCTGGGGTGGAGGCAGGCCAGGTAGGATAAGGAGGCAGAGAGACGATAGGAGGGGAGTGAGACTGGCAGGAGGAGCGGGAATTATTGTGTGAACGGCCAGAGAAGGAGGTGGGGGATTTCAGAGGAGGAGGAGGGTGGTGGGCGATAAATTGGTGGAGGTGGGGGTGTAGTGACAGGAGAAGTGGGGAGTGAGTAAGAGGTACGGTGTTGAAGGAGGAGGAGAGGACAAGGTTAGGGGTGAACTGGGAGGAGGAGAGAGAGCGCAGAGAAGGAGGGAGGAGAAGTCGAAGGCATAGGTTGTAGTAGAGAGGAGGAGGTGGGGTAGGGTGGGTGGGGAGTGGGTTGGGGGTGCAGCGGATTTTTGACTTACCACAAACGCAGAACAACTTCTCCGTCTCGGCCTTCGTCTCCAAAGCAAAACTTGAAGGTTATCGGTATCAAGTTAAAACATCTGTGGTTCGCTGCTTAAGTCTATCTGATCGCAGCAACAATGGCAGTGTAAGGCAAGCAGAAAAAAAACAAAACTTCTTCTTTTTATCTCTCATTGTCTCTGCATCTCTGCTTTGCTCTTCTTTCTTTCTTTCCCTCGTACTATCTCTTTTTCTTTTTTTCTTTTTACTCTCTGTCTCACCTCTCTCTCTCTCTCTGGCGTCATACACTCACTCACTAATCTCTCTCTCCTCCTCTCTTCTCTCTCTCCCTCCTCTCTCTCTCTCTCTCTCTCTCTCTCTCTCTCTCTCTCTCTCTCTCTCTCTCTCCATCTCTTCTTCATCCATCTCTCTCTCTCACACCCCTCACACTTCCATTCCCCAGCCACTTCCCCCCTCTTATATCCACTCCCCCTCCCCACCCCTTCCACCCTCACTCTCATGCCCCTAAGCATCTCCTCTCCCTTTTCTCTCGCCCTCACACTCTCCTCCCATCCTCATACCCGCTTTCTCACACTCCTCCTCAACCGCTCGTACTCATACTCACTTTCACGACATCATCCTCGCACGACCTTTTCGATCTCACACCCTCCTCCACCTATATCCACATTTCCCATCCTCCACATACCCACACAATCCACCCTTAGCCTACCCACTCTCACAATTCACCTACGTACCTACCCTATAATACCCACACACCCAGCCTCTGTACACTTAATATCCACCCTGACAATCCCACACACCTAATCCACCTTCACGATCCACACACTCAGCCCATCCTCACAATCCAACCTTCCCTCACCCATCCCCTCTCCCCTCCCCAACCCTTCCCCTTCCTCCTCTTCCCTTCCCCACCCTCCCCCCTCCTCCCTTCCTCCTCCCCTCCCCCACCCTTACCCTTCCTCCCCTCCCCTTCCCCACCCTTTCCCCTTCCCCCCCTTCCCCTTCCCCCCTCTCCCTCCTACCCCCTCTCCCCTCCCACCCCCTCTCCCCCCCCACCCCATCCCCACCCTCATACTCACATGACCCCATCATAGAGGTGTCGTTTCGGATCTCGAGGTAGTCGTGGAAGCACTGGTCGCGGAAGTCCCTCGGTCCCATCTGGAAGTCGTGGATGGTGATCTGGGGGGCGTGGCACTCCTCGCCCTGTAGGCGGTACACGCACCAGGTACCTGTCGGAGGAGGGGGAGAGAGAGAGGGGAGAGGAGAGGGAGGGGAGGGAGAGAGAGGGAGAGGGAGGGAGGGAGAGAGAGAGAGGAGGGAGGGGGGAGGGGGTTGTTGTGCTGTTTTATTATTTCAATCTTATTGTTGTTGTTTTAATTATTTATCATTACTATTATCATTATTATTATATCATCACCATCATTATCACACACATCACACACACACACACACACACCACACACACACACACACACACACACACACACACACACACACAAACAAACAAACAAACAAACAAACAAACAAACAACACAAACAAACACAAACACACAAACAAACACGTTCTCTTCCTCCCTTTCCTCTAACTAACCTGCGTCGTAATGGTTAGGGTAATTAGGTGAAGTAATGACGGTCGGATATTTCACTTCCACACTGCAAGGGCTCTTCAGGTGATCTATAGATGAAAGAAAAAAAAAAGAGTATATTAACGGAATTGGATACTTTTATCATGGGATTGAGAAAGTGCAATTATGAATGGAAGTGTATTTCTTTTATCGTGGGATTGAGAAAGTGCATTTATGAATGGAAGTGTATTTCTTTTATCGTGGGATTGAGAAAGTGCATTTATGAATGGAAGTGTATTTCTTTTTATCGTTTGAGAAAGTGCATTTATGAATGGAAGTGTATTACTTTATCGTGGGATTGAAGAGAAGGGAAATCTGAATATCTTAATGTATGGATTCCCTTATTGTGGGATTAAACAGAGAGGAAATTAGAATTTAGTAATGGAATGAAATGCCTTTATCGTGGGATAAAAGAGACAAATCTGAATCTATGAATGGAATTGGATTCCTTCATCGTGAGAACAAACATAAACAAAATGTACATTCATCAGTGGCATTGGATTCCTTTATCACAGAATTATCTCAGTTCTCAGTTCACTTATTGATTTGTAACGAATCTGTCATTCTATTGGACAGGTGAAAAGTTGTCTATTGAACAGCTGTTAAGTGAACAGTGGTCAGGTCAACAGTATCAACGACATAAATAGGATTTTAGAAGAACTTTGAAAAGGGAAATTTCATAAATTGAATGGGGCAATTTTTCCCATAATTTTATACTAAATTATGCACTTAATTGTCCGCATTTCTTTAAGGGACACCATTTTCCCATTTGCTTCTTCTACTAAATGGTGATTTTCCATTTTTAAAAATTATTAAATGAGCCAATTTTTTTATTTTCTTCCCACATGAATGAGTAAAATTGGAAAGTCTATGACGTCATTACCCTTATCTTCCAAGTCACGTGACGGAACAAGACCATAAGACATGGTGTCCCATTATCCCACAACGCACGTGACAAACAACAGCGTATGGCATCATTACCAGTCACCGTCCAAGTAACGCCTAACCTAACCTAACCTAACATAACAATATAACCTAACCTAACCTAACCTTAAAACCTAACCTAACCAACCTAACCTAACCTAACCAAACCAAACCAAAACCAAACCAAACCAAACCTAACCTAACCTAACCTAACCTAACCTAACCTAACCTAACCTAAGTAACCTAACCAAACCTAACCTAAGAACCTAACCTAACCTAACCTAACCTAACCTAAACCTAACCTAACCTAACCTAACCTAACAAACCTAACCTAACCCTAACCTAACCTAACCTAACCTAACCTAACCTAACCTAACTAACCTAACCTAACCTAAACCTAACCTAACCTAACCTAACCTAAACCTAACTAACTAACCTAACCTAACCCTAACCTAACCTAAACCTAACCTAACCTAACCTTAACCTAACCCTAACCTAACTAACCTAACCTAACCTAACGTAAAACCTAACCTAACCTAACCTAACCTAACCTAACGTAAATAACCTAACCTAACCTAACCTAACCTAACCTAACCTAACCTAACCTAACCTAACTAACCTAACCAATAACCTAACGTAAATAACGTAAATAACCTAACCCAACCTAACCAAATCTAACGTAGTTTAACCGAACTTAACCTAACCTAACCTTACGTAAATAACCTAATCTAACCTAACATAATGCAATGTAACCTAACCTAACCTAACCTAACCTAACCTAAACCTAACCTAACCTAAATAACCTAACGTAAATAACCTAACCTAACCTAACCTAACCTAACCTAACCTAACCTAACCTAACCTAACCTAAAACTAACCTAACCTAACCTAACCTAACCTAACCTAACCTAACTAACCTAACTAAACCTAACGAATAAACCTAACCTAACCTAACCTAACCTAACCTAACCTAACCAAACCTAACCTAACCTAACGTAACCTAACCTAACCTAACAAAACCTAACCTAACCTAAACCTAACCTAACCTAACCTAACCTAACCTAACCTAAACGTAAATAACCTAACCTAAACTAACATAATGCAAATAACCTAACCTAACCTAACCTAACCTAACCTAACCTAACCTAACTTAACGTAATTAACCTAACCTAACCTAACCTAACCTAACCTAACCTAACCTAACCTAACCTAACCTAACCTAACCTAACCTAACCTAACCTAACTAACCTAACCTAACCTAACCTAACCTAACCTAACCTAACCTAACCTAAACCTAACGTAAATAACCTAACCCAACCTAACTAAATCTAACTTAACCCTTACCTAACCTAACCTTTAACCTAACTAACCTAACTAAATGTAAAACCTAACCTAACCTAACCTAACCTAACCTAACCTAACCTAACCTAACCTAACTAACCTACCTAACCTAACCTAACCTAACCTAACCTAACAACCTAACCTAACCTAACGTAAATAAAACCTAACTAACCTAACCTAACCTAAAACGTAAATAAACCTAACCTAACCTAACCTAACCTAACGTAAATAACCTAACCTAACCTAACCTAACGTAAATAACCTAACCTAACCTAACCTAACCTAACCTAACCTAACGTAAATAACCTAACCTACCTAACCTAACCTAACCTAACGTAATAACCTAACCTAACCTAACCTAACCTAACATAATACCAATATAAACCTAACCTAACCTTAACCTAACCTAACCTAACCTAACCTAAACCTAACCTAACATAACAAAACCTAACGTAAAAACCTAACCTAACCTAACCTCACCTAACCTAACCTAACCTAACCTAACCTAACCTAACCTAACCTAAACTAACCTAACCTAACCTAACCTAAACCTAACCTAACCAAACCTAACCTAACCTAAACCTAACCAATATAACCTAACCTAACTAACCTAACCTAACCTAACCAATACCTAAACCTAACCTAACCTAAAACCTAACTAACCAAACTAACCTAACCTAACCTAACCTAACCTAACCTAACTAACCTAACCTAACCTAACCTAAACCTAACCTAACCTAAACCTAACCTAACCTAACCTAACCTAACCTAACCTAACCTAAACCTAACCTAACCTAACCTAACCTAACCTAACCTAAACCTAACCTTAACCTAACCTAACCTAACCTAACCTAACCTAAACCTAACCAAACCTAAACCTAACCTAACCTAACCTAACCTAAACCAAACCTAACCTAACCTAACCTAACCTAACCTAACCAAAACCTAACCTAACCTAACCTAACCTAACCTAACCTAACCTAACCTAACCAAACCTAACCTAACCTAACCTAACCCTAACCTAACCTAACCTAACCTAACGTTAAACCTAACCTAACCTAACCTAACCTAACCTAACCTAACCTAACCAAAACGAATAACCTAACTACTAACCTAACTAACCTAACCTAACCTAAACCTAACCTAACCTAAACCTAACCTACCTAACCTTAACCTAACCAACCTAACCTAACCTAAACTACCTAACCTAAAACCTAACCTAACCTAACCTAACCTAACCTAACCTAACCTAACCTAACCTAACCTAACCAAACCTAACCTACCTAACCTAACCTAACCTAACCTAACCTAAAACCTAACCCTAACCTAACCTAACCTAACCTAACCACCTAACCTAACCTAACCTAACCTAAACCGTAACCTAACCTAACCTAACCTAACCTAACCTAACCTAAACAAACCTAAAACCTAACCTAACCTAACCTAACCTAACCTAACCTAACCTAACCTAACCTAAACCCAACCTAACCTAACCTAACCTAACGTAAATAACCTAACCTAACCTAACCTCCTTACCTAACTAACCTAACCTAACAACCTAACCTAACCTAACCTACCTAACCAACCTAACCTAAATAACCTAAACCTAACCTAACCTAACCTAACGTAAACCTAACCTACCTAACCTACCTAACCTAACCTAACCTAACCCTAACCTAACCTAACCTAACCTAACCTAACTAACCTAACTTACCTACCTTAACCTAACCTAACCTAACCTAACCTAACCAAATAAACTAAAACCTAACCTAACCTAACCAAACCTAACCTAACCTAAACTAACCTAACCTAACCTAACCTAACCTAACCTAACCTAACCTAACCTAACCTAACGTAAATAACCTAACCTAACCTAACCTAACCTAACCTAACCTAACCTAACCAACCTAACCTAACCTAACCTAACCGCTAACCTAACCTAACAAAACCAAACCAAACCTAACCTAACCTAACCTAACCTAACCTAACTTAACCTAACCTAAACCTAACCTACCTACCTAACCTAACCTAACCCTAACCTACCTAACCCTAAACCTAACCTACCTAACGTACTAACCTAACCTAACCTACGTAACCTAACCTCCTAACCAACCTACCTAAACCTTACGTAACCTAACCTAACCTTACGTATAATACCTAACCCTAATACCGAACCTAACGTAAATAACCTAACCTAACCTAACGTAAATAACCTAACCTAACCTAAATAACCTAACCTAACCGTAAATAACTTACGTAAATAACCTAACCTAAACCCTAACCTTTACGTAAATAAACCTAACCTTACATAACCTAACCTAACCTAACCTAAACCTAACCTTACTAACCTAACCTAACCTAAAACCTAACCTAACCACCTAAACCTAACCTTAATAAATAACCTAACCTAACCTAACATAACCGAACCTAACCTAAACCAACTTAAATTAGATAAAACCGCACGGCGCTATTACCCGCCATCCTTCAAGTCACGTGACAGAACAAGAGCCTATGACGTCATTACCCATAATCCCCCAAATCACGTGACGTCATTACCGTAATATCCGCCAGTGACGATTTCGCAGAGTCGTCCCTCGGAGCCTGGAGGGCAGATGCACGTGCAATCCTCTCCTAAGTATCCTTCGTTCTTGCAAGGATTTCGGTTCAGGTTGCACTTTGCAAGCCACGTGTCTGTTGATAAAGGAAAGAAGAAGAAAGAAAATAAAATAAATAGAAGGTTGTTCGAGAAAAAAAGGATTGTTGTGGTTTTTGTTCTATTTTTTTTGGTTTGTTTAATTGATTTATCTATCTGTACATCTATCCGCGTATGTATCTATTACTTCATTCTTATATTCATTTACTTATTCTTTATTTTTTTGTCATTTATTTTTATCTGCTTACTGTATTTTTTCAAATTCTCTCTATTCCATTATCTCTCGTCCCATCTCCTTCTCTCCCTTTCTCTCCCCCTCTCCTCCTCTCCGTCTCACCTCCTTCCCTTTTCTCTCCCTCTTTCCTCTTCTTCCCTTTTCTCTCCTTTCCCCTCTTCCCCTATCTTCCCTCTCTCCTCCCCTTCTCCTTTCTCTCCCTCTCTCCTCTTCCTCAATCTCCCCCCTCTCCCCTTCATCCCTTTCTCTCCCTCTGTCCTCTTCCTCGGTCTCTCCCTCTCTCTTCCTCTTCCTCCCTCTTTCCTCTCCTTCCCCTTTCTCTCCCTCTCTCCTCCTCTTCCCCCCTCTCACCCCTCTTTCCCCTTCCCCCCCTTTCCCTTTCTCTCTCTCTCCTTCTTTTCTCCCTCTCTCCTCCCCTTCCCCTTTCTCTCCTCCTCTTCTCCTTTCTCTCCCCTTCTCATCCTCTTCCCCTTCCTCTCTCCCTCTCTCCTCCCCTTCCCCTTTCTCTCCCCTTCTTCCTCTTCCCCTTCCTCTCTCCCTCTCTCCTCCCCTTCCTTTCTCTCCCCTTCTCTCCTCTTCCCTCCTCTCTCCTCTCCTCCTCCCTTCTCCCCCTTTTCCCTTCTTCCCCTTCTCTCCTCTTCCCCTTTCTCTCCCCTTCTCCTCCTCTTCCCCTTTCTCTCCCCTCTCCTCCTCTCCTCTTCTCTCCCCTCTCATCCTCTCCCTTTTCACCCTTCTCCCCCCCCTTCCTCTCTCCCTCTCTCCCCCTTCCCTCTCTCCCCTTCTCCTCTCCCCTTCTCATCCTCTTTCCCCCTCTCTCCCCCTTCTCATCCTCTTCCCCTTTCTCTCCCTCTCTCCCCCTTCCCCTTCTCTCCCTCTCTCCCCTTTCCCTTCCTCTCTCCTTCCCTTCCCCTTTCTCTCCCCCTCTCCTCCTCCGTCCTTTCAATAAACCAAATCCTTTCCGACCGCCTTCCACCCACGGCAGCCTTTCATCTCGCTGGCTGGGCGTTGATGGCACCATAATCCAAACATATCAGTTGCATCCGTTGTTTAATGGGGTGTGGACATGGTGCCCGACCCGCCCCGTCTTCTTCCCCCTTTATTCTCTTGTTCTCTTGTTCTCTTCTTTCCTTCCTTTTTCGTGCCTGTTCTTTTGTGGGTTTGGATATCTTTTTTTTCTTGGCTTGTTTCTTGGTCTTTTTTTCGTCATTTTCATTCTTCTCTCTGTCGTTTTTCCTTTTTTTTCTTTTCCTCTGTCTCTATTTCATATTTTTCTTCTTCTCTTGACTCTTTCACTCTCCTCTCTCCTTCATCTTCTCTCTCCCATATCTATTTTTTAAAATTCTTTTCTCTTTCTCCTTCCTTCCTCTTTTCTACTTTCTTTTCCGTGCTGATCCTTTTCCCTTTTTCCCCTCCTCTGCCTCCTCTCTCCTCTCTCTCCCCTTCCTCTACCCTTATTCTCCTCTCTGTCCTCTTTCCTATCTTTTCC